TGCTTCTCCCGCACAGCTTGCGCAAAATTGAACCCTCGAGACCGGAAACTCGTCTCAACCCCGAGCTCTAAGCCCTAAGCCCCAAGAACTCTCGCCATCAGACCTGCAAATCCAACAGCCAAGACCTGGCAGTGCCCTTCAGCGCTAAGCCCTATGTAGCCCCTAAAGCAGTCTGGAAACATAACAAGCCAAAGAAGACTTGAAACAAAACAATGAAACCCTAAACCCTAAACCCCTAAACCCTAAACCCCTAAGCCCTAAACCCAACAATGCCTCCCTTTCGCGCTTTGTGACGAAGGCCCGGATACGACTTCCGGGCGGATCCCCAGGGTCAGGCACCGGAACTGCGAAGCTAATGCAGAAGCCCAAACAATTAGAATAGGGTCCCTGTCAAAGTTTCTGTGTTTAGGGCTCTGATACGGCTTCTAAATAAGGCCTACTTGCGAAGAGCATTCCATGATCTTGCAGCTTGATAATTTACTTGCATTCCTTTGAGCTGCTCTTGTAACGATAATGCAAGATACCACACATTCCTATGAAGTTACTAAGGCCCCGATATCGTTCCGCTTTGCAGCCTCTATTTCTGGGTTTAGGGTTTCTGCTCTAGGGTTTGGAGTATTGCTTTCGGGACCTGGTGCTTGTGTGACAGGTTGTAGATGTTAGGGTTCAGGTCTGTCTTGCTTCGGGTTGAAGAAGCTAACCGCTTGACATGATCTTCCCTAAGCCCAAAACCCCTAATGTAGGGGCCTTAATAATGAGAATAGCCTATTCTGAATAGGGTTTTGCGGTCTCCATATCATAACTGTAGCATAAAATACCAGCAAACCCTATTCTAACTATTAAGGCCCCTATATTAATCCCTAAGCCCATCTTCGTGATCACAAGCTTTGGCCGTTGCCAGGAGTCGGGCACATCGGCATCGGGCAAGACTTGCCGAAAGGTCTCCTGGTTGCAAGGATTAGGGTCTAATATAAGGGCCTAGATGTTACAAGTCACCTTCCCTTGTAGTTCCTGTTATGGTAACACGACCATGTTCCCCAAAGCCCTGTTTCATTTCAAGAGATGAAGTTCTAGTCCCTGAAGCTGCAGCACGGGAAGCCTTGCTGGAGCTCTGGAAACGTATTCAGCAGCGGGTGTAGTAGGGTTTAGGGTGCCACAGTATAAGTATTTGTTTAGGGTTTTGGTGTTATAGTATAGGTTTTATGTACAGTGTATGTTTCTTGATATGATTTGGGCTTGTTTGGTCTTACACAGATCCTGTACGATCATGACAGGACTGTCTGAATGAACCCCAACATCCTCTGTCTCGGCTTCTACCCTAACCCTACAGCCTAACCTGCGACGGTCTGAATCCTGAAATCCCGCACCTTCACAACCCTCCACCCAGGCCCTAAACCCCGAACAAAGCCTTAAACCCTAAACCTGAAAACCCCTAGACCCTAAATCCTAAACCCTTAAACCCTTAAACCTTAAAACCCTTAAAGCCTTAAACCTCTAAACCCTAAATCCTAAACCCTCAAATCCTTAAACCCTTAAGGGCCTTAGACCTCTAAACCCTCGAACCCTCAAACTTCGGCCGAGCCCGAAGCCTCCAAATGCCAAAACTGAGGCTTGTTTTGAGCACCTCAACGAAGGGGATTGGGAATTCATGTCTGGTGCTTGGTAGGGAATGGGGGAATGGATCCCTATGATAGTCCCTTATAGTAGTCCCTATAACCCATTCCCCGTTCCCTTCTAAGCACCAGACAGCTTTTAGGGTTTGGGGGTTGAGGGCTTTAGGGCTCTAGGGTTTGGGGGTCGAGGGCTTTAGGGTTTTAGGGTTTGGGGGTTGAGGGCTTTAGGGTTTTAGGGTTTGGGAGTTTAGGGCTTTAGGGTTTAAGATATACGGGGTCTGGGGTTTGGGGGTTTGGGGTTTGGGGCCTGTTTGAGGGTCGGACCTGCTTCTCAGACTGACCTGCTGCCTTCTGCGCACGTCAGGTGCAAAACTGGTCCAAGCTCGGAGTGCAGCCCAACCAGGAGAATGTCACACCTCACTCGACAAGCGTTTGAAAGGCTCCAGGGTATGTAGCGTTTGCCCGACATCCCGAACCCCAACAAACTGCAAAAACCGTGATTGAGGGATCCAGGGGTTTCCGGTTCACACGCTTGGGGCTTCGGGCTCCAGGAGTCCCGGGCGTACTGTGGAGCCTCCTGGAAAGGTAAGTCAGTAAGTCTTTCCCCACAATGGTAACTGGGTAGATCCAGGTGGGCCCTGCAGCCCCCAAACCACACAGCTTCAGCAAAAGTAGTTTTTCTGGACTGTGGGTGGGAATAAGCCGCCCTGGAAAACTGTGAGGTTCAGACCCAGGTGAACCCAGCTTGAAGAAGTTGACGCCCAGGCCCTTGTTGTGCGTGGTTCTTTTTCGCATGTAGTGGAAGACAGTTCTTTTGTCGGCGAAGTCGGGGGCGCCTCATCGTACCCGTGTGGCCGTATGATTTTACCGTTAAGCGACCTTCACACGAGCACCACAGGGAAGCGATGTAGCAGGGGTGTGTGTGTGTGTGTGTGCTTTACAGTGCAGTGGCCTACGCCCCGAAGGGTGGCTTGCTGCACCAACGGGCCGCCGAAGCGGAAAGAAAAGGAGCGAGCACTTTTGCAGTAAGCACAGTCAGCCAGCGCAGCTGACTTAAAGCATCTCGAAGCACCATTGCAACCTCCGG